ACACACACACACACACACACACACACACACACACACATCCCAATCCACACTATTACATGATTTAGCATTTTAGGGCTTTGCAATTTTCCTACACCTACATAGGTACAAACAGTGGACCCATGAACAAACTTTCAAGTCTGCCCTGGGTACCTTTCTGGCCAGGTCTGGAGATGGGAGGGCACTATGTGCAGTCATTTAGTAAATCCCTACCAGAACAAACAAGTTAGTTATGATCATGTCTTAAAGTGGCAGCAGTAGTCTGGAAATGCCGTGATGCTGGGCACCATATGAAAATATCAGGTGGACCTTAGCATATTACTTTTGTTGTTGTCCTGATGTTCTGAGAATGTGAAATAAGTGACAAGAATCAGAGCAGATTCCTTTAGAGCAATTAGTGTAAGTAGATGAAACACACAAATGTTAAGGCCCTGACATACTTCTTCAAATACCATCACAAGACTGATGAGACTGCACTCAGCCTATTTCCAAATCAGGAATGAGAAAGACAGCAACATCACACTAGGTAAGAATACAGGTTGTACCACTAGAGAAATTAACCTAGACTTTTAGAAACAGGTCTGCTAAGAGAATAGTCAAGCCTTGCTGCAAGTATGAAAGAAAGAAATGAGCCAAAGTGGACTTGTAGCTGTATAGAAAGACAGATCAAAAGAGGAGGTCATCTTTAAAGATGTCAGTCAATTATAGTAACCAGATTAGTTTACAGTCTTTGATTGTTCAAGTAGGTATGAGCCATATCAGGATTGTATCACTGACATCAGGCAAATTTGTTTAACTCTGTCTTCCAAGGTCAAATCACAGTTTTTTTGAAAGGTATGAAAACTAGGACTGCAGTATATGAAACCTGTGGTCCCTGCCCTCTAGCTCTGAGATAGAGCTCTAAAGTCTACAGTCATCCTCTGGAGACTGTGTTGACATTTTGAATGGAATGCTCTCTTGTAAGTCTAAAGAAGATCTCAGATAGAAAGGTGTGGATTTCAGAAAGATAGGTGTGGATTTCTTGTAATTTGATGCACCCTGGGCTGGTGGATTCTTAGCACATCATCAGTACATCTGCATACACACTGCATCCATTCATTAAGATTTGGTCTGTATCCAACCATCTGCTTCTAACCATTGGTTCAACCATGATGTGAGATGTGTAAATCCTGGGAAAAAAAACCCAAATTCTTCTTTGTCTTCTCCTCAAAAGAAAATAAAAAATAAGTGGACAAAGAGGAAATCTGTAGGTAATCCTACCCTCTTTTCAAAATGCCCTTGTGCAGAGCTGGCCAAAACCATTTTTTTATGGTATGCAGGCCACCAGAAAGCATATTTCAAAGTCCACCTTTTGCAAGGCAGCTTCATTTTTAGCAAAAGCTTGGAGGACTCAAAGGCTAAAATAATTGGTATTTAGCCTGAGGAAGAAAACCTATGACCTTCAACTAACCCAAGAGTTCTCATGCATTAAAATAATCTCTCAATGTAATTGAATGTATGGTAACTAAAACCACATTTATTTCTATATAGTTAGATGAACTCATTGTAGTTACATGTGCCATGTAGTATCTAATACGTTTTGAACAAAAAGCTCCAGGGATGATTCTGTATTTATCTGTATGATAATAATGAGGAACATGATGGCTTAGGTGTGTAGAATAAGCCATATCTCTTTATTTTTACAAGTCTTGCACAAGACTTAGTCATGTATTGTTCAAGTTGATGGGGCAGCTGTCTGCAGGATGACTAAATGATCAGACAAACATAAGGTTATAATTTTACCATACAAAGAATAACACTTCCACACAGACAGATATTTTCACTGTCTTCTGTTGCAAATATTTTGTGTGAAAAATTCCATTATAGTTTAAAGCTTTGAAAGATTGTATAAGCATAGTGGAATTCACTTCTTAACCAGACCTATCATTAAAAATTAACCACACTTGGGAAATTTAAACACCTGTAAGTTCAAAACAGTACTTAACTCTAAAATATTATTAAGAAATCATAAGTTAAAATTCCTGTTTTAACAGCTGAATTTTACGTACTTCAGCAAATATTGCCTTTTCATATTTCCTGTTCTTAATTACACATGACTCAACGGTATTTTATTATAAGACTAAACTATGGTTACTATTTCTCAATGATAAGCAAAATATATATCATTCCTGCTATTGAGGCCAACTTTCTATATACTGCTAATGGGATAAATAACCTGTTATGACACATTTTTAAAAGTACAAAATTAATCTTGTACAAAAATCAAAGCATTATCAATAAATTTGTATATGTCTTACAGTAAAAAGTCATTAATCACAGCTACAGAGAATTTTGTTGAGCTAATATAATACAGATATTTTATTATGATGTAAAATATTTTATTATGGTGAACAATTTATTAGATTCAATTAGGAATTTGAATTATTTGATTCATTATGGAGTTCCCTAAGAATGAGACAGTCAGCATCTCTCTACCCTTAAAGTGGAAGAGAAAAAAGACTGCTGATAGTAAAAGTGGACTGAAAGAAAATCTATCAGCCAGAACAACCTTAACCTCAGCACTTCAACATTTTCCTGTTTACTGTGTATGAAATACAAACATATGACTGACTATTCTTGCTAACACATCATAAAGCAAAATAAGGCCTCATAAAACTGTTTCTGTGCATGTACATATTTTCTCATATCTCCAACAGCTTGAGTGTTATTGTTTCACTACAGGGGGTCTTATGTTTTTATGAAACCAAGTGTCCTGGTTTTGGGTGGGATAGAATTAATTTTCTTCCTAGTAGCTGGTACAGTGCTGTGGTTTGGATTCAGGATAAGAACAACGTTGGTGACACACTGAGGGTTTCGTGTTGCTGAGCAGCACTTACACTAAGTCAGGGACTTTTCTGCTTCTATTTTTCCCAGCCAGAGAGGAGGATGGCACAAAAAACTGGGAGTGGACACAGCCTGTGCAGCTGATGCCAACTGGCCAAAGGGGTATTTCAAACCGTATGGCATCATGCTAAACAATAAAACTGGGGGGAATTGGCTGGGGGGCAGCAGCTGTGCTCTGGGATGGGATGGGCATCAGTCAGTGGGTGTTGAGAAATTGCATTGTTCATTACTTTGTGTATTTATTATTATTATTATTATTATTATTATTATTACTACTACTACTATTATTACTATTTTCCCTTTCTCTTCCATTCTACTAAAACTGTCTTTTTCTGAATCCACAAGTTTTATCTATTTTCTGATTGTCTCCCTTATCCCTGTGGCACGTGAGTGAATGGCTGTGTGGTGTACAGCTGCCTGCTAGGTTAAACCAAAACACACAGAAACAACTTAGCTCAAACAGTTTTATATGCACTAAAACACAAACTAAAACAGCAGTTAATGATGATGTGAAATCAATTGGAACTCATAGCTAAGGAAATGGATTTCAGTTACAGAGAAAGATTATAAAGCTCAGATGAGCTTTGGAAAACAAATCAATTTTAATATAAGAAATAAAAGCAGCCTGGAGTTAGAAAGGAAATTAGAAAGCATTTTTGAAGGCTTAATTATGATGCAGGTAGGAAAGATGTGTTCTGTTTGGGTGACCATAAGTATATTTCAGAAAGACTGATGAATACAAAAAGTTAGTGACCAAGAGATATCTGCTGCCTTTTACCATTGTTCCATGGAACACAAGAAAAATAGAAGGGTTGTACTTAAAGACACAGTTGATCTTTCATGTGCTGCATTTCAGTCAAATAGAACATTCACTTTACATCTCAATTCATCACTTGCTGAAGTGAACATAAGTCTGGAACACAGCACAGCACTGGTTCATCGTTGCATGATTCCCTTCATATTCATTCAAAGTAGGCTTTTAAATTTTTTTTCTCCCTTATAGAACTAATAGAGAAGCACATGAAAACAGCTTCCAGCTAACAAAGTTGAAATCTGACAATGGTATAGAGACTAACACCTCCTATTTAAATTAAAAGATATAATCACAGACTTACACTGTTTATGTCTTATCATGATCATAGAATCATGGAATACTTTGGGTTGGAAGGAACCTTAAAGATCATCTAGTTTCAACTCTGACATGTGCAGGGAACCTTTCAGTAGTCCAGGTTGCTCAGAACCCCATCCAGCCTGGATCTAAGGATTGCAAGTTCACAGCTTCTCTGGGCAACCTCTGCCAGAGCCTCACAATCCTTAAAGAATTTCTTCCTGATATCTAAACCAACCCTCTTTCAGCTCAAGGCCATCCCCCTTGTCCTATTACTACAGGCCCTTGTAAAAAGGTCCCTCTCCATCTCTCTGCTAGATTCCCTTCAGATACTGGAAGGCTGCTCTAAAGCCTCTCCAGAGCCTTCTCCAGACTAAACAGCCCCAGCTCTCAGAGCCTGTCTTCATAGCAGAGGTGCCCCAGCCCAGTGATCCACTCATTGGCCCTCCTCTGGACTCATTCCAACCAGCCTTCTGTGCTGTGAATTTCAGAGAAAACTAAAATCACTACAAAGTTATGACAAAAATAACTTCTGGGAGAAAGAGACAGGAGAAATGCACTAAAAGGGGAACATGCTTTAGAGCGATGACTTTAAAAGAATAAACCAATTCAATATCCATCCAAGCAAAGGTAACAGAGGTAACTCAGCAGATTTCTACAGAGCAGCAAAGGTTATCAGACAGTGTCAGGAGACTTCTGTAAAAGATGCAGAATGGGAAACAAGTGCTATTAGTTACAGAGATTTCTCTCAAGGTGTTAATGTAGCTCACTCTGCTGTCATTTGACAATAGAATAGATCAGTGACCTCAGACAGAACATCATGAAATTTGAATTAAGAAATTAAAATTCACAGACATTAATTTTATTTACTTGGTTTTGATAAAGCCTTTACAAATGCTGTCCTGTTTTTGACACTCATCAATATGAGTTGTCACATGTGGGATGTGGAAATGTCTGCAAATCCTCTCAGCAACACCCTGTCAATCCACTTCCATAGAGGCATGTTGTTCCTCTGCTGTCCTTTGATTACCTGACCAAAGGGTGGTTGCTTGTCAAAGCAGCCTGATGTCCATGGAAATTAAAGACCAAAGCAAAGTAATTAAATTATTGAATATTTTTTATTGTGGTCAATACAGAAGAGCTTGTTTAGTACATGAGGAGCAACTTGAACTTCTCCTCTGTCATAAAAAGCATTATTTTTTTTTGAAAAATATTCTAGGAGTAACCAACAGCTCTATAGTAACAGAGAAAACCACAGGCAGAAATAAAGCAAAATGGCAATAAAGTACCTTGTGCGGGGCAAGAAATTTATCAGAAATGAAGGAGAAAATGTTAATTGAAAGACTTTTGTTTTTGTATATGTCTATAAGGAAATGCTCTTGAATTTTATCAAAATTCCACTTTTAGTAACTATTTTTTTACCTAAGCAATACACTTCAAAGAGCTTTATAACAGTCAATTACTTACTTTCTGGATACTTGTATCCTCAGTAAGGTACCTGAGCCTCAGATCAGAGCTCTCTCTCAACAGTATAACAGTCATAGCATGCTTATTAAGGAGACCTTGTATTTCCAAGCAATCACTTTAGAAGCTTCACTAAAAGAAAAGAATGTGCAAGAAGACTTGGTAAGATTAGTGTGCACAAGCAATGCCATGCATTAGGTATGCAGCAGAAGAAAACCAACTTTTATGTAAGACAAAACTGTGACAACAATGCAAATTCGTCCTCCATTTGCTGTCCTGTGTACTCACTGCAGGTCTGACTGCTAATCACACACACTGTATGTCCTGAAACTCCAGTGGTGTGACCTAAGATCCTCTGTGAAACAGCAGCAGGCAACTGTGTCTGCATATGAGGCTAAATTAGGACTAAGGTTGGTTTTCATCCCTGTGAACTTTTCACCCAAATATTTCTCTAGTTAAAAAGGGATTTTTACCACATATCAATCTTAAAAATATTTTGAAAGAATGAATTAAAGTGCAAAGCCTGGTACTTACCTTTCTGCCCTCCACGCAGCGCTGGAGCTCGGGCTTGGCCAGCACAGAGTGGCGGCAGCCGTGGGGCTGCCATGTTATTGCTCTCCAGTCACAGGTCCTGTTGTCAGAGCAGCTGAGGCAAGGAACAATCCATTGCCCTGGAAAACAGCAATGAATGTCAGCACCTCCTCTGCATTCTTCTGAGTAGTTTTATTGCACAGGAAGTAAGATAATTTTGAGTATTTGCCAACTTATGTATGAGTAAAGAAACCTCATAAGGGAGCTTTCCCTAAATTAAATGCCCTCCAACCCTTTGAAGAGACTATTTCCTGTCACTATCTTATGCCCTTTTCATTTAGTTAGGGTGGGAGTTTTTTCCTTTTCCTGAAAGAGCTGCAAATGATCAAATTTGACAGCCATTTGTGGGTTCATTTCTGAATACATGTTGCCTTTCCTGTAGCAGCTTGTCCTTTCTCAACGGAAGGGATATGAGAAAGAGAAAATGGGTGAGGAGGTTGAATGCAAAAATAAAATATTCACATTCAGACATGTCTGAAGATTAATTCTCATCTACAATGAAACATCTAAAGGTTGGGTGTATGGTTGAGAGCAATTGATATAAAAATGAAACAAAATTAAGAATTTCCTTCCAATACACTATTTTTTTTTTAATTTGTGATAATTCAGAGGACTGTCCCAGAATACACAAATACATTCCAGAAGAAGACAATAAAGTGAAATGAATAACTTATGTGATTTATTAGAGCCTGATCTTATTTACAAAAATAATTTTGAAAATTAGGAGCACAAAGTGATCAATGGGTTTTAGTAATCCCTCATCTAAGGTTAAATGGTTTTGTTATTTTGGTTTTCTAAAATGATTCTTTCGCAAAATTCTACTGGAAGCTTGTGGGATTTAATTTCCGAAGGAAGACAGAAAACTTTTGAGTTGCCTTTATATTCGAATGAACAAAAGAAAGCATTTTTCTAGATCTTATAAGTACACAGTGCTGACAGTATCATCCAGTGTCTATGTAACTGCCAGCAAAACCTTTTTTTGTTTGTATTAAAGGCATTACACAATTAAGAGTGCAAAGGCCTAAGGTCCTTGTGTCAGTGCTATCAGGCTATTCTACCACAGATGGATCTCTCACCACAGCCCAGAAAACAGCCCCAAAATCAAATACTTGGAGATCAGACCTGGCCTTAGAGTCTGTCCCCACCACCGCTACCAGGCAGCAGCTCAACCAGCTGTGTCTGATGGATTGCTGCTGCACAGGAAGCCACAGCAAAAAAACCCAAGGCTTCCTTTTGACATTTCACCTGGCCAGGGATGGAGGGAAAAGCTGAGTGAAGAAACCTGAGGGAAAGGCTGAATGAAGAAACCATGAAGGGTCCCCATGGCCTTGGGAGAGTCAGCTGCTACCTCAGGAGCAAGAGAATTTCCAGGGAGGCAGCCTGTGTTTCCATTTAGGCAAAACTCCAAGTGACTGTGTTTTGGTAAGTAGCAGGGTGAGTCATCTAAGCAGATAAAGAAGTCCTTCTAAATAAAATCATCAAGGTTTTTTTTGTATGGGAGCCCTCATGGGTACATCTAAGGCACAAATACATCCCATGGTGCCACAACCATGCAATGCCAGTTTCTGTGTACCCTGCACAGCTTCCCCTATTTCCGTGCTGTGCCAAACATACACCACCCTCAGATGCACAGGAGAAAATTATAGATAGCAGAGTGAACCAAACCAAAACCCTGGACACTGGCTTTGAGCACACTGTGGTTCAGTGAGCATAACCCAGCTTCCCCTGCTCCCATGGGCATGAGTGCCTCGTGGAGGCTGTGCTGGGCAGCAGCCCAGTTCACAGCATGGACAGAGGAAGGAGGGACACTCAGGACCACGGTAGGAGGGTGCAAGCAGGAAGATAGAGATACCCCATGCTTCTTGCTCAGAGGAGTTCCAAACTTGCATTTTCTGCATCTTAATCATGCAGCTCTTAGGGCAAATATTCCCCACTCAGTTAAGGACCACTTTAAAGTTCAAAATTCATTAGAACTGGAAAAGAGCATGCTTGGAACCTGGTAATTTTTGTGTGAAAAAGAGACCTGAACTTTGGTCCCTAAGAGAGATCCTATGTAGAATTTTTATCAAAGGGTTAAATTGAATAATTATCTGAAATTACAAAGTAGATAATCACGTTCTGGAGCAGGGAGTTCTCTTCCAAATGAATACCCTCCTCAGCTGGGACACCAGAGGCTGAATTTAAGCAATTTCTCTTACTGTGGCCTCCCAGTGCTGACTGTTGTGAGTCCCTTACTCATGCTGACCCTTCCTTGACTTTGAGGACCCTTTTCCAGGCTGTAGTCTCCTGGCCACCACTGGGGCCAGGAATACTTTGAGATTTCTAAGTATTCCTCTAAGATTTCTATTGCTACTTGTGGATTTTGCTGTTGGCTCCCACTTTGCAACCCATGAGTAAATGGTCATTCCCAGCTTCACAGCAGTCTCACAAAGAAATCGAAAAATGCCAGGTATCAGATAACCCAGCAATAAGTGCCATGCCAACACCTTTTACTGCTTTGTATCTTTTGACTAAGAGAGCAGGGACAGAATGGTTAGTTGGTTTGAAGTCTGGACTCAGACCCTGCCACTACTGTAGTAAATTGTTTGAGAGATGTTTCAGGTAGTGACCTATATTTTAAAATTATATGAAAACTCATTATTTTTTTCCTGATGTTATAATTTTTCTTTCAACCCAAATATAAAAAAGTTCTGGCAATGTCTAAAACATATGAGATCCCTCATCTTATGGAATTTTCTTTTAAACATCCCATACTTTAACGAACTGATTTGGTTTAAGGTAATAAACTACAAAAGTGGAACTATATAAAATGAATATTGAGGAGCCAAAATATCTGAACAATAAAAGTTTAAACTTTGGCAACTGAAAGTGACAAGTAACTTTTAAAAAGCTTCTTTTAAATAGCTTGGTTTATGTTCAATAGCTCCCTAGGTATATTAAAGAAAAACATAGATCAGTTTTTTGGCATTTGCTAAAGGTTAGCGGCAAATCTAAAAAGATTTGAGAATACAGATATATGAAGATAAATTCAAATTTTTAGGAAGCACTAGCATTTAATGCTAACAGAATAATTTCTGGTTTTGTATTTACATAGATTTTTTTAATGATGCATGTAAATATATGCACTTTAAATCCAACTGCTATGAACTTTTCCTGCTGCAATTTCCCAACAGTTGGTCAATGCATTCTTCACCATCAAAAATAAGATTGTGTTAAAAGATAAAATGAATCTCATAAAAAAGAAGACAACAGTGAAAAATTGCAAACAATATTAGTTTGGAAATTAGGCTTATATTCTATAGCAATTTTAACTTGCTATTTCCTCACTTATATAAGTTAGCAGCACATAATGCAGTGCTTCAGGCAAAAGCATTAACACTGGCTCTATCAGGCAAGGGCAAGTTTACCAACAATTAAGTGAATGACAGCAAGAGAGACACACTGTTAGTTTCTTCACAAATTAAAAATTGGCATAATCAAACTTTCATGAAAACCTGTAAGTAGGAGGTTTCCACAGGAAGAGTGAAAGCTGGATTTTTGGCTCATTAGAGTAGTTATCAGTTGAGTACATAAATCTTCTTAAGATACGAGATTAAACATTGCCAGTACTCCCTAAAACTGTTCTCATAAAATGGCATGAAAAAAAATATACTTGCAAAATAATTAGTTAGGATTGTTTACTTTCAATTTAAAACAGATTAGCTTAAAATTGAAAGTTTTAACCAATAACAGCTATACACTTAATTTGATAGTTTTGCTTTTTCTTTCAGAGTCTTTTATTTTTATTTATCCTTTTACATTGTCATAGCCACAATTAAACATATTTTGCTTTCAAATTTAAAATCAAGGTTTTTCTATAGTGCCAAGCAATTATCATTGTAAAGAGAAAATACTATTCTAGCTTGGTAAGGCAAAATCTAAATATTTAACCTAAACTGGTGCTAATTTGTTGATTTATGACTTCATTACTTCTGTATTTGGTGTTTATTTGGTACCCTAAGATCTTCAAAAAGCTTTTTCTCTGAATAGGCTATGGAAGTATTTTACTTTTTGTTCTAGCTGTATTGATGAAAAAAAAAAAAAAAAAAGTAAAAAATATTTTTAGAAGGACATGACTTGCTACAGAATAAAGAGCCTTAGGACAATGGATTTATGTCCAAACTGAGATTTACTCCTTGTAACCAAATGACACATTCATTTGGCTGGACATCATTTTATGTCTCTGATGGACCCAAATCCAGACAGCTGCTCAATGCAGACAGAGATCACATAGAATTACTTTAAACTGGATACAGTTGTAGGAAGAATGGAAAGTGGGATATAATTAAAATATATGCATCACAGCAACAGAAAATTAGAAGTGAATCTGTGATATCTTACACACCAGATTTTGTTATTGCTACAAACCACATTTCTACAGAGTGCAGTAACCTGATTCATCTGCAGGAATTTAGCACAGGTTGGGCTCTCATGTTCTCTTTTAGTTATTTTCCTCTCTTTCCCTCTGAGAAGTAAAACACAGTTTATGTTTGCTGACTTCTGTATTATTGGTAATGCAACAATATTGAACAATGAGCTAATTTTGATACGATACCCTGGTTCAAACTGGATGTGAATCAAAGAAATTCTGAAAGAAAAAAGATTTTTTTGGTCGATAAATCATAATTTCATTCCATGATGTAAACACGAAGGAAAGACACTTCCTCTGTTGCATATTCCAATTTGCATTTATTGATTATAAGAGGGACAGAGAGAGAAATTGTATAAATTAAGTGTATCTTTGGTATGGTGTTGAGCTTCCTCTAAAGAAGTGCCATGGTGACTAGGAGAGAAGGAAGTCACTTTTGTCTTTGGTAGGATCCTGAATTACTGTCTCTGTTCTACATCAAAGGATTAGAAATGAGTAATGAACTCCTGGTTGTACTTAACTATAAAGCAGCCTTCTAAATTTTACCATTAATGTCAGAAGAAGTAAGGTTATGTCTTTATCTCTGCTGTTCCATCTCAGCCTCTGTACATAGCTCAAGGACAGTGTATGTCACCTATTTCTGCAGAAGTTTTGAGTTATCTTATGAGGGGAAATGACATTGCTTGGCTTCTCTGAAAATGTAACTTATTTAAGAAATATTAGTGCTTTAGCAGGGAATTTGCCATTTGCCATTCTTCATTGCAGGATTGGTATATATTTTGGCTGCTACAAATTTGGAATGATTAGTTCAATTCATTGTGCATAGGTTAGTGCATATCCACAGCAAAGAGTTAACATTTTTTCTAGTTTTTATTTGATGAGGTTAATTTTCAGGAAAAAAAGGTACAAACCTTTCGTGTCTCCAGCTTCACAGGTCTTAAACACTGTCTGTGAAATTGCTGAGAGGTATTCATGAGAGAGAGGCTGCAAGCCACAGGACTCCTCTGGGAGAATTTTGGAACCACAGTCCTGAAATAAATAGAATCTGTGAAAATGACAGCACTGTGCCCATCCACATCACCTTGAAATCCTCTTCAAGAGTAAAAAAGTTATTTGGGGTAGTTCTGCAATTAGTTCATCCTTAGCTCTTCAATATATAGTTTAATATGAAATTTCAAATCCTTTTACCATTCAGACAAGGTTTTGCAATAAATTATCCCAATCCACAGCAAACATACACGATCCTACATTTACTAAAGATATAATAAAATTTATTAAGTCAAACATACATACCTTTCATGTAACATCACGTTGTCGCTATACATTATATAATCTCTACCTATTTGCCCTTAGGAATTTTGTATGCCTATTTGTAGTCATATGGGATTCATTTCTGTGATAAAATGCCCTAAAATAGCTTCAGGAGATACAGGTGCTTAAAGGAAAAAAAATCTATTTTCTAAAATAGTTCTAAAATTAATTTCACAACTGTTACATAGTATCATTTGCTGTTGCCATGAAATTATGCAACATCTAGGATGCTGTGCCTAAATTGCATCAATGAGCAAAGGACAATTAAGTCCTAATAGAATCAAGGTACTGACAGTTAGTAAAATATACGCCACTGCACATAGCAATATGAACACATAGCAATATGAACACATCTTGGAATTTTGTAAATATCGGCAGTTCTTGATTATGCAATCAAGAGGCAAGATGAAATAGTTGTCTCAAAATTATTCTGATCTCATAAAAGTCTATGATGGTGAAAAAAAAATTAAAAAAAATCTTTTCAGTGACTTCAGAGGTTTATGGTAATATTTGTGCATAAATAAGCACCAAAACAGTGTTACATGTGAGTTGTCCTGTTCTATACTTAATCTCTCAAACTAGGGAAAGCTGTTATGACACAATGAATGGCACAGTATCTTCTAGTATTAAACTGTGTTTTAGAGTCCCTGGGTCTGGACACACTGTACAGCTATTTGACAGTATAACTTCAACTAACATTAACATCAGAAAGTTCCTACCTTGCAGTAAAACAATTTACACAGGACTTTACAAGAGAGCCACAAATTCCTGAATGTGTTGCCATTGCCCTCAACATAATGCCATAAAATAAAAGGGATTTTCTTGTTCATTCTGCCCAGGGTATGAGTTTAAGCAAACAAAATTTTATTTTAATCACATTTATTTGGGAATACCATTAACAACAATTTTTTGTGGCTGTTTCTTTTTGCTAACTACAACCAACATGCAGGGAACTATGTGACTGATTCCCTTTGACTTTGTTTTGTTTTCAAAATAAAGGACACTGCTTGCATTTAATTTGCAATTCACATCTAAACTGTCATGTCATGAGAGATTGTGAATTCCTGAACAAGACATATTTGTTTCATTTTTACCTTTGTAGGAGACCAATCCTTTACCATCATTGACATATTAAATATAATATGCAAAATGAATCTGTGGCAGCTACAGATTTACTGCAGCTCCATAAATGTATGACACACTGAGGGTTTTTCTAAATGCATGAAGATTTTTTTATTGTTTTCTTTAGGTGCTGTGCTGACATGACATCCTTCTTTCCTTGCCCAAAGATGAAACATCTTGTGATCCAAAGTATGTTTACAAAAGATACTCATGGCAAAGATGAGAGCCAGACATGTAAACTTAAATGATAGTTGATGCTCTGTGTCTGTTCTTCCTGCAAACCTTCATTTTTAGAAAGGAGACATAAAAAGGCTTTTGTAATTTCTGGATTAGAATCAAAAGAAAAATTCTCTTGCATTACGTACTTTAGTGCACTTTAAGGACCGACTATAAAATTGGTGTGGCTTTTCGTAGTAAACTTTCTTTTATCTTTATGGAAGATTGTCTGGACACTAGCAAATAAAAGAGGAATAAAGCTTTCTTGTGTACATCTACATGGCTTTTAATCAACATCAGTAGATACTTAGAGAGTGAACATTTCTGGAGTCCATCTACTATGCGAAATGACAATTTCCTTGTCTCTTTCAAATCACACTGTAGTGAACCTGATTCTTCATAATGTTTTAGTTTTAAAGAGATAAAACTGATTTTCAAGCCTGTTACTTCACTGCATTTTCTCAATTATTACCTTCAAAATATTTGGGGCTCTTAGTTCATGGTATTTAATCTATTTATAGTCCGGGTGCCTAATTTAAGAAGAATTTTGTTTGTTTAGTTCACCTTTGAATAACCAATAACTATATTTCCTTTCAGTTATGTACCTCTGCATATACATACATGTACATGGTTTTACTCAGGCATATAAAAATAGTAAAAAAAAAAAAAAAATCATAACCAGTTTTAAAATTTCACAGGTAGAGGCAGAAAGATGAACAAAACATAAAGCTTGCAGCTGATGTCATGGGATGAATGTCATACAGTGAAGACCATTGTAGATGCAGTAATGGTTCAGATTAAAAAAATATAATTTAACTATTAATGGATTTTTAATTGCTGTGGTGCCTTTTTCACCACCTCCACCTTAATGAAAAATGATTACTCTGAAAACTGCAGTAAAAGAAAAGAAGGTAAGAAGCCTTTCCCTAATGGTATGACTTTCCTGGGAGAAGTCATACCATTAGGGAAAAAATGCCCATCTGTGTTCATTTTAACAGTTGGTGCTCTAGCAGTGACTGAGCACCATAACAAAAATAAAGTTACTTTTAACATCTACACCTGCTGCTACCTATCAGCTTAAGAAGGCATTTTTAAATAGAAAGGAAGGCTTTTCAGTGTTTTTATGGAATAATCCAACTGTTCATTCACAGCTGTGGCTAAAAATATAATTTTTGGTGGAAGTAGACTTATATTAATGAATTGAGTGCTTTGAAAACTCCCTCCCAGGATGCCTGCATACAGGCTCTACAGTTAGCTACTCAGTAAAAGTCCTTGCATTTATATGAAAACCCCTGGGAGTGGTGGGCTCAATGCTGAAAAACAGACAATTTCTGCTTCAGTACTCATTTCTGAAATTGTACCTAGCCCAAATCACTGAAGACTACCCCTACCAGTCTAATAAAGGATCAATGTATCTGAATGTTTTAAACTAAATAACAAGAGAAATATAAGGAATTTTTTAGTGTTGCACACAACCAATATGTAGCCAAAATTCTGCATCTTTTTAACATCCAGAACCTATGCATGGCTGAGAACTAGTGGATGAGATAAACCCCACTGAGTGTCCTTGGTAAAGAAGGTGTAAGACCCCTCCACCAGCTCTTTCCCTGAGGTCTCTTGGCCAGCATTGCCCATCAACCTGGCAGGTGCTCCAGCCACCTCCTCCAGGCACTGCAGCCCTGCCTCCTCTCATGGTGTTGCCAGGGCTGTCTCGCTCCTTTTGACTGCACTTTAGACATTGCAGAATAAAGCTTCATGTGAAAGTGCTAATTGAGATCACTTTTCTGTTGGTCTTTGTAGGCTCACTAACTTAAGTTTATTGGATCTATTTCTATTTAAGCTGACCTGAGTTTCTCAAGAAATACTTTCATGTCTCTTTAGTCCATCCTTTTCTACTATTTTCCCATAACTAAAACTGAATGAAAAGTGATTAAAAATGATGCTATGGAAGGACTTCTAATAAAATTAGTCAAAGAGTGAGCTCATGAAATAGAGAAATGATATCTTATTGCTAAGGAATAAATTGTGAGCAAATAGATTAGATACACTCTATCAACTTTCTTAATATGGCAGGAATAAATGAAGGAACAGTTGGCATATTGTTCGTTATTCAACTGTCTCCCTCTGTCCAGCTGCATTATTCAGTGATAGATGAACCTCTAAAGATCCAGAGGTTCAGGCCAGTTCAGTTCAACATCCAAATTGACTAGATTGAACTGAAACTTGTGTATGTGCACAATAACTCTAGAGACCTGTCATAAGGAGAGAGGCATTCTCCCAAGAAATTTCAGTTTTCTACTGCTGTTGGATGGGAAACAATGACTATAATTAGCCATCAAGCACTGTCTATGACATACATAAAGACATTGTCTAGATCAAATGACAAACAAAGCCATTAAACAGAGAATATAGTATTAATGGAATGAACAGATGGAGTAATGTGTCCTTGTGCTACAGCTATGTTTTAAAGCAAAGAAACTGTATTTTATATCACCACAGTATTTTTTAAAGGAACCTAATAAGTTCTATCTGCAAATATGGGATAATAGTTCCCCAGTGACCCCAAAGACAAATAACAAACAATTAATAACAAAAAACAAATAACACATTAAAAGACTGTGAGATGCTAATTTCCACACATATCTGGTAGGGGCCATAAAAACACTTTAGAAAAGGAGTCTGGGCACACCTGAGTGGAAAAATGCAGCACACAGATATCAGTAGGAGATCGGGAATGATACAAAAAGCTCAGATACTGGTCATGTCAGGGCATCAGAGAACAGTTTGATATGTGGATAAAGTACAGCCATCAGTCTAAATTGTTTTTAAATTCTTAATTGTGCTATACGTGTTGTTACAATAACTGATATTATTGTTTCTTAAGAATAGAAACATACCCTAAATTGCATGATTTTTCTCAGACCCAAATTTCTGCATATAAAATTTCTTTGAGAATAATGTCACATGCTTTAACCAGTGATGATTGTCATAACTACAGAGTACCTTTACTAACGGCTAAAGAAATTTTGAAAATCCCAAGAGATGCCTTTCCACAAAGACTTAAAACACTTACTGTTTATATGGACAAATAAATTTCATCCTGCCACTACAGCAAATGCAGTGTCTTCCTCTGCACTAAGAATGCTAACCTCAGAGAAAGCTATGAAACTGTTTAAAGAAAACATTACAAGTTTCATAACACTAGTTCAGTACCTTTTATGTGCATGGAGAATATAAAAGAATCCTTTTAATCTAGGAAGGATTTTGATTCACTTCCATTTTATATGCACATCAGTTAGACCCTGTCTGCCTTCCTGCTCCCAAACAAAGTGCTTGTGAACCATAGAACAAAATTATTCACTTAAGACCTAAAAAGCATG